ACCTACTTTCTGTCTCTATAGACTTGCCTATTCTGAACATGTCACTGAAATGGAATCATACAATATGTGTCCTTTTGTGTCTGACTTCTTTCACTTAACATAATGTGTTCAAGGTTCACCCATATTATAGCATGTATTAGTACTTGAATTTTATGGTTGAATAATGTTCCATTGTACCACATTTTGTTTACCTATTCATCAGTTGATGTACCTTTGGGTTGTTTCCGCTTTTTTGGCTATTATATATAGTACTGCTGTGAATATTTGTAATAAGTTTTTTGTGTGAACATATGTCTTCAGTTCTCTTGGGTATATACTTCAGAGTAGAATTGTTGGATAATATGGTAACCCTGTTTAACTTTTTGAGGAACTGTCAAACGGTTTTCCACAACAGCTGACCATTTTACATTCCCAACAGCAATGTGTAAGGGTTCCACATCCTCACCAACACTTACTTTATTTTCTTTTAAATTAAATTCTCTCTGTAGATATCCGTCCTAGTGGGTAGGAGGTGGTATCTAATTTTTTTAAATTTTTATTTATTTATTGGAGAAAGAGAGAGAGAGGGAGAGAGGGAGAATCTCAAGCAGACTCCCCACTGAGCATGGAGCCAGATGTGGGGCTCAATCCCAAAGACCTGAGATCATGACCTGAGCCAAATCAAGAGTAGGGACGCTTAACCAATTGAGTCACCCAGGTGCCCCGTTGGTATCTCATTTTGCACATCCTATCTTGGGAGTCTGTTTTTAACACAAACTGTAGCATATTATACACACACTATACACTTGGCTTTCCCACTTAATATATTATGGAGATCATGTCAGTATGTACAAAACTGCTTATTCTTTTGGCAGGCGTTATGGTAACCCACTGCAGGAATGTGCAATCCTGGTACTGGTCATTTACTTAACCAGTTCCTACTGATAGGCTGCTCTGTTTCTTCCCAATCTTTTGTATTACAAACAATGCCTCTATCTACTCTGTTCTCCACATGCAGGAAGTTGTCTGTAATGATCATTTCTCGAAGTGAAATTCTAGGTTAAAGGGCAATACACATTCTTTTGGTTTTGTTTTTGTTTTAAGATTTTATTTATTTATTTGATAAAAAGAGAGAGACAGGGAGAGCACAGAGGGAGAGTGAGAGGAAGCAGCAGACTCCCCGCTGAGCAGGGAGCCCGATGCGGGGCTCGATCCCAGGACCCTGGAATCATGACCTGAGCCGAAGGCAGACGCTAAACCGACTGAGCCACCCAGGCGCCCCCATTCTTTTGTTTTTATAGCTATGACTGAACTGATTCCATAGAGAGTGTACCAATTTATACTCACCAGCATTGCAAAGACATGTCCTTTAAATGGACCCAGAATCATAAGATCAAATTTGTGAGGATATTGTCTTAGTGTGGTACTCCCGTGTGGGCTGACTATAGAAGCACTTTTTTTTTTTTTAAGATTTTTATTTATTTATTTGACAGAGAGAGAGATAGTGAGAGCAGGAACACAAGCAGGGGGAGTGGGAGAGGGAGAAGCAGGCTTCCTGCCGAGCAGGGAGCCCAATGTGGGACTCGATCCCAGGACCCCGGGATCATGACCTGAGCCGAAGGCAGACGCTTAACGACTGAGCCACCCAGGCGCCCTAGAAGCACTTTTTTTTGAGGGGCTTGGGATAAGGATATGGTTCATAAAGAGCTTTCCTTGATTAGCAGTTCCCCAGGAGGAGGTAGACCCTGAAGAGGATTTGTCTTGGGGTCCTATCTACCCTTCTTTGGTGGAACAATGGGGATTCACTGAAGATGCTGGGTAAGATAATCATTTGTTCAAATAGTTCTCAATCAATAAATATTTATTGAAAGCCTACTATGTCATGCTAGGTGCTAGAATGAAATGAAGACAAAATCAGACTAGACACTCCTTTCACTGATGTTTTCAGGCTTTTGAGGGGGAAGCGGACATTAATATAACTAAGCATAAGGTAACTAATAGTGAGGGAAATGTATATCATGTCATTGCAGCCTGTAGCAAGGGTCTGAGGGTCAGCAAAGGGTTCCCAGAGGAAATATGTTTTTGTTTTGTATTGGTATTTTTTTTAAAGATTTTATTTATTTCAGAGAGAGAGGGAGAGTATGTGTGAGAGAGAGAGAGAGCACACCTGAGCCATTCAGGAAGCCCAAAGAAACATGTTTGAATTGAGATATGAAGGATGAGTAAAAGACTAGCTGAAGGGAAAAAGCATGGTTAACAAATAAAGTAGGGAAGTACTAATACCTACTACACATGGCTGCTAAGGGAATTCAGTTAAACAATATTATGTAAGGCATTTAGCAAAATGCTTGGCATGTGTCAGTTACTTGGTGAATGCTGACTTTGCTTCCAGTTTCCCATTCACTCATGGTGAATGCTAAAATTCCAGATCCCCAAACAGATCATTGTCACCCTAGCTATGCTCTTACTTCGTTTTCTCTCTCTTTCTCTACCTCTGGGCTCCCAAGCACTGCAGTCCATTCACAGTAATCTACCTTAGGAGCTAATTAGATTAGTAACCATTTATTTTGCCCTTAGTCTATACTAAGTACTTTGCATTCATTATTTAATCTTCATCACAGTCTTAGTAGGTTAGAACTATTATTACTCCCATTTTAAAAGGAAGAACTGAGGCAAGCAGAGCCCAAGGACAATAGCAAGCAAACCGCAGAGCAGGCCTCACGCTCAAGTCTGACTAATTTCTAACCACTACTCGTACAGTGCCTTGGGTTCGTAGTTATCTTTTGCAGGTCTTATTTATCCAACTAGATGACAACCTGATTTAGGATAAGAATTTGCCCCTGGGGTGGGTGGGGGCTGGCCGGTTCAGTTGGTAGAGCATGTGACTCTTTAGAGCCCCACATTGGGCTTAGAGATTACTTCCAAAAAAAAAAAAAAAAAATCTGCCTCTAAACGGTTTAGTAAGACAATAGCCATTCCTTGTCAAGCAGCTCCTATTTATTTACTTGTATATTATTTTCCCCATTTTACAGATTAGGAAACTAAAGCTCAAATAGATTAATTAACTTGGCCAAGCAGGTGGAAATGGGACAAGAATCCTGATTTAGATATGCCCCGTACCTACCCAAAGATGACAGCCAATAATCTTTGTACCTGATAGATGGGAAGTATAGGGCTATATTCACCCAAACCCTGGTTAATTTCAGCTGGCATGACATTTAGGTAATGACAGTGACTATGGGAGAGAGGGAATTGTTGGTGAGGTGCCCATCTCTTCCTTCTGGCTGTGTGAACATAATTTAGAGCTCACAATAAATGGAGTCCCAAGGGTTATTGCGGAATTCCTGACACGCCAAACATAAGCTACTATGAACAAAGCCCCCTTTTGGGAGTTTTGTAGTCAATGACACAGATAATGTTAACACTCGTGGAATGTTTTCTATGTGCCAGGCACCATTCTTTGTGCTTTACAAGAATGAATTCATTTAATTTCTAGTTAAGGGCTGTTAGTATTCCATATAACATCTGAGGAAACTGAAGTACAGGAAGGTTAAAGGATTTGCCTAAAGCCCCTAACTAGCAAGTAGTGACCTTTGGGACATCTGGCAGACTCAGAGCTCTAGCATGTCATGACAACAGTGCAAGAGTCACTGAGTCCAGCACAAAAACAGACAAAACGCTAATATAAGGAAAGACCAAAAATTCCTGCGGGTAAGTAGGCAAATTAGTTTTTAAGTGCCTGCCTGCCGGCACGTCTCCATCCCCAATTTCTCCTTTCCCCACCCACTCCTACTGGAAAAGTAGACCGCGAGCCTGGAAAGTAGGGGAAAGGTCGCCGTTGTGATTTGGCTCCTCCCATCCTGCTCGTTGCGTCCTTTTTCCGCAAAATCGCAGACCCTGTGCAAGCTCCCGGGTTCTTGCCCATCCAGCCCCGGTACTTGACCCTGACACATGGAACCGCCAGCCCTACAGCTCTGTGGACCTGTCTAGAGTCAGCGGCCCCGGCGCTTTGGTCCACTGCCCTCCTCCTCCCCAGGAGGAAGGCATGAAACCGCTGACAGCCTTCCGGCGTGGAGGTTCCTTCCTAGCGTCTCCCCAGGACTCTATTTTCTGAGATCCGCCATTGGCTGCTTTCACAGCAGACCGTCTACATTTCTCCGGTTTCACGCGGAGGGTTTGCGTAGTAAGGCTTCCCAGCTCCCACATCTGGGTATGAAGCTGGCTGCTCACCTCCTAGCTCTTTGGTTCGATCTGAAAGTATCTAAAAATCATCTAGTGGCCCCATTTTAGGTGAGAAAACAGGCCCAGTGGGTACAAAGTGAGTTGTCCGTGTGCAGTCAGGCACAGACGCCAGGGCCAGCTGGGTATTTCACCTTTTCTTACACATGACAAACTTTCGTAGAAAGCAGAACTTACTACGACGCAACAGGTTCTCGCCATTGCAGTGATACCAAGGGCAAATTAAACCTCAGGACTTCGAATGGGAGGGTGGGGGCGGTGCCTGGAATCTTGGTACTTCTAGAAAGTGAAAGTCAGCTCTTCAGTCGGGGGAATTTAAATACTGGGGGTGGGGATCTCATGCCTTCTGGCAATCTGTGCTTTGTTGGTGTTGGAAGGTCTGGTGATGAAGCCCTTCTCTGCGGTCCCGCCTTCCTCTGACCTGAGGGCTTTTGGATTTGGACACTTCAGGTGTGTCTCCAATCCACTCGGTATGGGGGTAAATGTGCTGATTCCCTCCAGTTTCCTGCAGCAGAAAGAGGCAGTCTATGTTAACACATACGCTAGTCCTACTGCCGACCTCAGTGACTCAGAGCCCCAGGGTGTGTACTTTCTGGAAACAGGTCAGACTGGCAGCGCAGCGCAGCGCAGTGGCCCAGACCTCGGACCTCCCCCGCCTGGGGGCGGGGCCGCGGACATGCGTCAGGCCCGGTACGTGCGGCCCGAGTGCGCGTGCGCGGCTCCGGGGCGGGGCCGGGGCTATAAGTGGGCGGCGTGGGCAACGTCGTTCTGCTCTTCTTTCCCGAGGGTTCCGCCGTTATACTCAGAGAGTCGTCTGGGCTGCGGTTTAACACTAATCGGGAGCTGACTCTTCGGACTCCTGCACTACCCTCTGTTACAGCGAGCGGACCGCTCCTGGCCCTTCCTCCTGGAGGTGAGCGGCCCTGTGGGCTTCCCCACCTTTCCGCGCCCATTCCCCAGGCTGCGTTGCCCCGCGGGCCGCCTCGGGTTCCCGAGCTCGGGCCGCGCCTCCCGGACTCCTGCTCCTCGCTCCGTCTCCACCTGGGTCCGGAGTCAGCCGCTCCAGCCCTGTTTTCAGGGATGACCCTGTGTTCCATGTGGCTCTCCCCATGCTCTCAGGTGCTGGGTTGGGCGTCCCAGTCTTGCCCTCCCAGAACACCCTTTCTGTCACAGCACTTGGCGTGTTGTGTGTGTGCTAACTGGCTAATTTCTTGCCTAGATCGAAAGCCCCATGAGGGCAGGGTTCATGTCTACCGGACCCCGTATGGCCCTAGTACCTTCCTGGGTGCCTAACACATCGTAGGTATTCCGGGTGTATTTGTTAAATAAGTGAACTTGATAGATTTGACTGTCTTGGAATTATTTTGGCTTTATCAAAAAGTTTATGATTGGGGCGCCTGGGTGGCTCAGTTGGTTAGGCGACTGCCTTCGGCTCAGGTCATGATCCTGGAGTCCCTGGATCGAGTCCCGCATCGAGCTCCCTGCTTGGCGGGGAATCTGCTTCGCCCTCTGACCCTATCCCCTCATGTGTTCTTTCTCTCTCATTCTCTCTCTCTCAAAATAAATAAAATCTTTAAAAAAAAAAAAAAGTTTACGATTAACTGGAACCTGACAGATGTGAGGAGAACCTCTAGGCAGGTGGCTTTCTTAGGGGCATGTGCCTGCCTTCCTCCTCAAAAACAGAAAGACCCCGTTCAGGAAGGGTTTTGGTCCCTGGATTGTGGCACGGGGATTGTGCATTGCACCTGGCAGAAGTAAAAGGTTTACTTTAGAAGAAGTAAAAGTTTTAAGGAGTGCTCTTGAATTAGTCCAAGAAGCAAGACTAGCTCTGCAGCCATAGAGTTTACAGTGTAAATATGCTTCTACTGGTCCCTGTCTCCCTGACTGGCTGAGCCTCACCCTTAGTTCCATGGGAAGACAGAAGTCAGGCCTGGATGCATGCATATCCCAAAAGGCTGTAGATTAATCTCACCTCTCTTTCCTCAGTATCCAGAGGCCTTCGAGAAGTGAAGACAGTTCTACTGCTCTACAGAGGAGTGGGGTCATTTCAGCCATGAAGTCTGTGTTGAACCTCTATCTCTTAGGTGTGGTGCTGACCCTGCTCTCCATCTTCGTTAGACTAATGGAGTCCCTGGGAGGCATACTGGAGAGCCCATTGCCTAGGAGCTCCTGGACCACCAGAGGTCAACCAGCCAGCATAGAGCCCCCGAGGGCGTTCCAGACAATCCATCCAGAGGGGTGTGATAAGACCTCTCTCCACCAGCTGTAATCTTGGAACACTGGCCTAAACACATCCAGGCAGTTGTCTAGTTGCTGGGCAGGAAAGCTCAGAACATCAGTGTTACCAGAACTGTTAACAGGCTCTTGAACGGCCTCTCCATCTGGATGTTCCTTGCCCTGGAAAAAGGGCCTAATATATAGGTGTGAATGGATTGCCTATGACTGCGATGGAATGATGTCACTGCTCTCCCCAGGGTCTGCTGTACGCTCTGGTGTCCTTGGCAACATGGCTCTGATGCCTCTTAGATAGGGACTTGCGCTTCATATTCAGCAGTTGGGAGATGGTGTCGTTTTCATCTCTGCGTCGTCAACATCTGCCAAGAGTTCCTTGGGGCTTGGGTGTCTTGTGGTCAGTTTATGTGGAGGTCAGCTTCTCTCCCATGAGAGCTTGTCTGTGTGTGGACAGTAGTTGAAGTGTGGTGTATGGGTTGGCTGTAGGGAGGGGGATGATGAAATAGTCAAGTGTCCACCTCTCATTGTTTCACATGGTAAAGTACTTTCTCCAACACAGCATGTATGCATGTATATTGATCAGAAGGGGGCAGTGGGATGATAAAGCCCGCTCAAGATGCCATTATGGCCACCATGTGGCTTAAATGAAATTTTCTAATGAAATAAAAATTGAATATATATTTCTAGTATGTGTCCTATTGACCTCTGCCCTTGAAATTAGTGATAGGAAGGGTCTTAATCCTAGATTTGGGTTTGACATCTTAACTCAGGAGCAGAAAAGTACTTAAAACACTTCGTTTAAAACATCATGTAGGGGCACCCGGGTGGCTTAGTCTTAAACTGACTGAATCTTGATCTCAAGGTCGTGAATTCAAGGCCCTCATTGGGCTCCACAGCGGGCATAGAACCTACTTAAAAAACAATAAAAAATAAAACATAATGTAAATAAATCTGAATTTGGAGGCAAGGGCAGTTGGGTCTGCCCCGAATCCACCAGTTTTCTGAGCCTGGGCCAAGAATATTCTAGTCCTCTCTTGACTCTCCATTTCAAAAGAAAAATGATTTTCTTCTACCACCCCCACCTTCAGTTTCCGGGGGAAAGAGGACTATCAGTCCAGTAGGCTTTTTTTCCTCTGTACTGCTGTGATCCATCAGAATGAGTGCTCAGTTTTGATTGTTCTCCAGGTCAGCTGGTAAAATGTCCCACTTGACAGTTGTCTCTGCTCACTCCCAGATCTTTGTAGCTTGGCTTTTACACAGAAATGGAGGGTTTGGGCTTTTTTTTTCCCCTTGCCCATATCCACTACTCCTCCATCCCCTACTCCATGTTCAAGTGCATTCACTCCTCTGCCCATGGTAATGTATCGGTTCACACACTCTTGATGTGTGTCATTTTATGTATGGGGAATTGGGTTTACTTTTGCCAAAGGGTACAAATGGTATGGTGCCTCTACTAAGCCATTTTGGCTTCCTGAGTTCTTGAGCCTAAGTGCCAACTACTCTAGAAGCTGGTGGTTTGGGCATCACTTCTATTTATTGCACTGTGGCAGTCACTAGTGCTGTTCAGCAAGTATTTCCAGCTTCCCACCTTCTGGGCATGTACAATACTAAAAATATTATTTTTACATGTAATCAACCTAAGAAGTTATTTATGAGATATATAGATATTTTACATTTTTTGGTACTAAGTATTTATTTGTATTGGCATTTTACACTTAGAACGTACGGCTCCCTGGTCTCTGGATGGCGGGGGTAATGTGGCTCATCTCAGCACAGTACAATGAAAAATACAGTTGGCTTTTTATCTCGGATTTCAGGCACTGCGTGCCAGTAGCTATCCTAGAACATACTACTTAAATTTGATATGTTTTCTCATTCTCACGCGTCACCTCGTTTGGGGTGTTAACTTGAAGTGGGAGAGCTGCACCTTAAGGCCCTTTCCCCAGATGGTTTAATTGAAATGGTTTACAGGGTGCCAGAACCTTTGTGAGGTCTTCACTCTAAGACAATTTAATCTACTTGGAGATTTTAACAACAGATGTAATGGCCATACCACTGTTTTCCTATGAATAGGGTGACCTGCTGTCCCCGTTTGCCTGGCAAAGGGATTTTCTGGGATGCAGTACTTTTCAGTGCTAAAACTGGGACAGGTCTGGGTGAACCAAGACAGGCCAGCAGTCATCCTACCTACAAAGCTGAGTTCAAAACGGCATTTGTCATTGCAAACATTTCTCAGTTTTATCTGTTAACCAGTCAGGGATGAGAAGTAGTTGCCTTTGTGAACCCTGCAAACCCACTGATTTCTCTTTACTGCTTGCGAGCTGGCCAGTTCAGTTCTTGTCTGAGCTAATCTTGGACTTCGTCAGTGGCAACCAACAGTATCCAATTCAGGCTGCTAAAATTCTTTCCTCTGACTTTCTCTTAACTTCTTAGATCAAGTATGTCTTCCAAGTTACTGCAGGCAACAGTTTTACCAAATACTTTGCTACTTATGACGAGTTGCCCTCTTCCCATCTTTCAATAAGATCGCTTTGCTGCCTGCCCTCCAAGTAAGTTAATGTCACACATTCTGAAGTTTTTTGTTGTTTTAAATACATATGCATCACCCACCTCTACAGTCCTATCTCCTTATCAGTCAAGGACACATTAGATTAGGTTCTGCAGCAACAACTCTGAATTCTCAGTAGTTTAAAACAGAACAGTTGCCTAAGGCTGTGCTCCCAGGAAGCAAAATTAGGGCCTAATCAGGGAATATTCCCTTCCCGCAGGGTAAGGGGCCTTCTTCCCATCTGCTCAGTGGCACATGGTGATTCCTAGGCTACTGTTTCTTGTTCCTCCCCTTTCCCCTTAGTGCATTCGTCTTGTCTTTGTTCCACCAATATTTATTAGATGGGTGGGGGCTTGTCTTTTTAGTTTAGAGTTCTCCACCTCAAGCCACTTCTGAAAGTGGTGTAGAGACTATTATGCATCACTCGGAGATTTTTTTTTTTTTTAAAGATTTTATTTATTTATTTGAAAGAGAGAGAGAGAGCGCACAAGCAGGAGGAGTGGGAGAGGGAGAAGCAGGCTCCCGGCTGAGCAGAGAGCCCGACGTGGGGCTCGATCCCAGGACCCTGGAGATCATGACCTGAGCCGAAGGCAGACGCTTGACCGACTGAGCCAGCCAGGCACCCCTCACTCGGAGATTCTTGAATTTGAACTTGATGTTGTAGCTGAAGGGAATTACTGAGTTGCCTTCTTTGGAGAGGTATGGTGAATGCAGAGGGGTAGTGAGCTGCAGGAGGGACGGTGAGCTAAATGGTTATTGACTAGAAGGATCATAGTGGTCTCCAAATATTTCTGCCCTTGCCTTTCAAGCACATAATAGAAGTGCACTTCCTGACACCTTTGTGGTTGGACAAGGCCATGAATTAGTTCTATTAGTTCTGGCCAATGAGTTGTGAGTAGAAGTAACTTGTGTCAGTTCTGGATTGGAACACCTAGATTCTAGATTGGAGCACTGGTTCAAAAACCTCCAAACCTTTCACCTTCTTTTTCCCTCCACTACAGTGACCAGCAATGCTCCAAGTGGAACTCTTCCATTAATGTAGGTCTTGGAGTGCGGATGCCATGGAGTGGAGCCGTTGACTGATCCCTCATGAACATGTAGTGTAAATACGAAAGAAACCTCTGTTGTGTTAAGTTCCTGTAGCATAACTTGGCCTATTCTGACTGATACATTGCCTTCAGCACCTAGCGGCTACTGCGCATTGACTAAGATTTCATTACTACTCACCTCAGATAACATGCATTAGACAGTGTGTGGGGGGTTGGGGGGGGGACATGTAAACAAACCAATAATGTTTCATGGTTCTGTGATAGAAACGTGTATAGGACATGGGTATATAAAGTTATCTGCTGGCAGGAGGCAGATGGTAAAAGGAAAGCTTCTTAGAGGATCTGAATTTTAAAAAATGAACAGGTAACCACGTTCGGAAAGAGTTCCCTACTGGAGGGAACTGTGAGCAAGGACGTGGAGAGGAGCCCAAGCACAGCGTATTTAGAAAGCTGCAAGTACTAGCTTGAGGCCTTCGCTCTAGTGCCATCTAGTGGAATCTAAGGAAGAAGGAAACACTAACTACATGCGGTGTAATGCTTTCCAGATTTGAAGGGCCCTGCCTCTAAAGCTTATGATAGATATCAGAATATTAAGGCCTGGAAGATTTGATCTAGTCTTAACACCGTCCAATAAAAATATAATGCAAGCCACATATGTAATTTAAATTTTTCTAATGGTTACATTAAAAAGAAACAGGAAAAGATACTTTAAACACCTTTAACTCAATATACTAAAAATATTATTTCTACATGTCATCAACCTAAGAAGTCATTTATGAGATATATAGATATTTTACATTTTTTGGTACTAAGTATTTATTTGTATTGGCATTTTACACTTAGAACATATCTCATTTGGATTAGCCACATTTCAGGTGCTCAGTAGTCCCGTGGCTAGTGGCTACTGTATTGGACAGCATAGATCTTTTCATTTTACTACAGAGGAAACAGAAGGAAACTCAGTAACTTAGACAATATCATTTCTAGATCTCACTATAGGTTTCTCAATTTTTACAAATTTAACTGTTCTTTTAAAAAATTTTTTAAGTTGGGGCACCTGGGTGGCTCAGTTGGTTAAGCGACTGCCTTCGGCTCAGGTCATGATCCTGGAGTCCCTGGATCGAGTCCCGCATCGGGCTCCCTGCTCGGCAGGGAGTCTGCTTCTCCCTCTGACCCTCCCCCCTCTCATGTGCTCTCTCTCAAATAAATAAAATCTTTAAAAAAAATAAAAAATTTTAAGTTAAAAAAATAAATAAAATAAATTTAACTTTAGGAGTAGGTTGTTTAATTTCCAAATCCCTTGATATTTTCCAAATATTTTTCTTTCATTGATTTCATTGCTCCTAATTTCATTGATTATGGTCAGGGGACATACCCTGTATAATTTTAATTAGTGGAAATTTATTGAGACTTGTTTTAATGGCTCAGCACATGGTATATCTTAGTGAATGTTCAATGTGCACTTGAAGAGAATGTGGATTCTGTGGGTTCTGAGTGTTCTGTGTTTTACAGAAAAGTGTACAAAATATTTTTTATAGAAGGTATGCAAAATACAAAAAAATTTTTTACAAAAATTACATAGAGTGGGGTACATGGGTGGCTCAGTTGCTTGAGCGTCTGACTCTTGATTTTGGCTCAGGTCATGATCTCTGAATTGTGAGATCGAGCCCTGCATTGGGCTCCGTGCTGAGCAAGGAGCCTGCTTAAGATTCTCTCTCTCCCTCTGCTCCTCTCCCCACAGTTTGCGTGCACGCTCTTTCTCAAAAAAAAAAAAAAAAAAAAAAAATTTACATAAATTAAGTTCGTAGTTATTAAGTCTTCTGTATCCTTACTAATTTCCTATTTACTTGTTCTATGAATTTCTGAGAGAGAAAGGATAAGATATCCAACTCTAATTATCTATTTGTCTATTTTTCCTTTTAGTTTCATCAGTTTTCATTTCATGTTTTTTGAAACTCTGCTATTGGATACATATACATTTAGGATTGTTATGTCTTCTTAAATTGACCTCCTTATCTTTTAAAAATGTCCCTCTTTTGGGGAGACAAATCATAAGAGTCTTAATCATAGGAAACAAACTGAGGGTTGCTGGAGGGGAGGAGGGTGGGGCGATGGGGTAACTGGGTGACAGGCATTAAGGAGGCACATGATGTAATGAGCACTGGGTGTTATGTAAGACTGATGAATCACTGAACTCTACCTCTGAAACTAATAATACACTATATGTTAATTAATTGAATTTAAAAAGTGTCCCTCTTTGGGGTGCTTGGGTGGCTCAGTCAGTTAAGTGTGCAATTCTTGATTTCAGTTCTGGTCACGATCTTAGGGTCTTGGGATTGAGCCCCACAAAGGTCCCTGAGCTCAGCGTGGAGTCTGCTTAAGATTTTCTCTCTCCCAGGGAGCCAGGGTGGCTCAGTCAGTTGGGCATCTGCCTTCAACTCAGGTCATGATCCTGGGGTCCTGGGATAGAGCCCCAAATCGGGCTCTCTGCTCAGTGGGGAGCCTGCTTCTCCCTCTCCCTCTGCCTGCTGCTCTGCCTACTTGTGCTCGCCCCCTCTGTCTCTCTGTCAAATAAATAAATCTTAAAAAAAAAGATTTTCTCTCTCCCTCTGCTCCTCCCCCTGCTTGCATGCACACACTCTCTTTCTCTCTCAAAATAAATAATAAATAGTAATAGTCTTCAGAAAAAAATGTACTTCTTCATCACTTGTATTATTCCTTGCCATGAAGTCTTCTTTGTATGATATTAATATAGCCACTCTAGCTGACTTACGATTAGTGGCTGCAAAGTTTATCTTACTCTGTCTCTTTAACTTATGCATCTTTGTATATTGTGGATTTCTTGTAGATAGCATATAGTTGTGCCTTGCTTTTTATACAGATTGGCAACATCTCATTTTTAATTGGACTGTTTAGGCCATTTATATTTAGTGTAATTATCTATAAGGTTGGGTTTAAATCTTCTCTATCTTGTTATTTTCTGTTTCCCATCTGTTCTTTGTTCCATTTTTCCTCTTACCTTCTTTTGGATTAACTGTGAATTTTTCAGTGTTCTATTTTATCTTCACTTGATTTATTAGCTATACATCTCTGTTAAAAAAAATTTTTTTTTTAAAGATTTTGTTCATTTATTTGACAGAGTTAGCGAGAGCAGGAACACAAGCAAGGTGAGTGGGAGAGGGAGAAGCAGGCCTTCCGCCAAGCAGGGAGCCTGATGTGCAGCTCGATCCCAGGACCCTGGGATCATGACCTGAGCCCAAGGCAGATGCTTAACAGCTGAGCCACCCAGGCGCCCCCTCTGTTTAATTTTTTTAATGGTTCCTCTACTCTAGGATTTACAATAGACATCTTTTAACTTATTACAGTCTAACTTCGAATAGTATTTTACCACCTCGTGTATAATATAAGAGCCTTGCAATACTACATCTTATTTTCTCCTCTCATCCTCTGTGCCATTCTTGTCATATATTTTACTTATACATATGTTTTAAACCTAATGTTACATATTACATTGTTACAATTTTTAAATAGTCAATTGTTAAAGAACTTTAAAAATTATATGTATACATATTTAACATTTTTGCTTACATATTTACAATTTCTAGTAATTACTTACTGTTTGTGTAGATGTAGGTTTATAGTTTTTACTATATTTGGAAATCTTCCAGCCTTTATTTCTTCAAATATATATCTTTAACTCAAGAAGTAAACAGTATGTCCAATACAACCCTGACCACATGTTCACAACTTTGGACAGACCACTTTTAGAGCTAATAATGATTCTTCCAAAAGTTTATCTTGTACATAGCTACTTCTCAGTAAATATTTGTAGAGCCATATGTAGGAAATTTCTTTCACACTTCTCATTTTAAAATTTATTTAAAAGAAATACAGTTCATGGTAAATAATTTAAACAGTACAAAAAGTATACTGTGAAAAATAAGTACTTTTT